ATTGAGAGCAGCCAGTGTTGCCATTCCTTCACGAGTCCACTGCATAATAAAACCATTATGCGACACAGTTACTCTTTATGTTCTCCAAATCAGACAGCTCGGTTCTATAATAAACTGTTCAAACTAAGGATAAAAAATTTACCTTGGAAGCAGAAGCAATGTGAGGTACCACAACAGCATTCTTCAAGTCAGCAAGCCCAGGTTTCATGTAAGGCTCATCCTGATACATACAACACCATTCATGAACCACTCAAATGTCAGAGATGTTCCGTCCGAAAGAAGATTGGAATTTGACAGGGAAGGTGCGTTTGTGTACCTCAAACACATCCAGACCAACTCGAAACATAGGATTTTGTTTCAAATGCTCTACAAGAGCAACTTCATCAATCACAGGCCCTCTGCTACAGTTTACAAGGATTGCTTCCTGTAGATATATGGCATATTTTTGTTCAACTGGTAAATACATGCATACACGTGTATATTTCACATAGATTTATACAAATAAGAATGTTCTTTCGAACTTCACCTTCTTCATAATTGCCAGTCTTTCTTTGTTGACCAGATGATAAGTGGTTTTATCCAGAATTGGATGAAGGCTTATCTGGAAGGAGAATCAATAACCGCACCATTAGAAACAGAGTAAGAAAACTTGGGAAGAAAAATAGGCCCGGTTGAGGGGAGTGAGAGTCATACGACATCTGCTTCTCGGAGCACCTCATCCATGCTTGCTGCTCTTTTCCAAGTCACGGGCTGTTCACCATTGGCTTTTAGGAACTCAGCATAAGCTGGAACATGGGAACATACATATACAGGTATCAGTATTTCAGACCCAAAAAAAAACATATACAGGTATCAGTAAAGGGTTGGGAAAGATTTATGCAATAAACTGACTGACATGCCTGTAACAAACTTCTCTAGCCGTGTAGCCTGGTACAGGTCATAGTAAATCAGGTTCATCTTGAAACCTTCAACCTGTTAGAGATCAACAGTAATTTCAGCACCATCAGCGGTATCTCACTAATTGGAATGAATCACTAATTAAGATCATGAGCAATAACTGAACCAGGTAAGTTTAAATAAATAAATAAAAGTGCAAAAACAGTTAAGCATATAGCTGTGATTGGAACTGATTTAGTATGAAGTTGATTTAGGAGATTCAATCTGTCATACAATGGGAAGTATATAAATCATTTGTCCAAGCCTGCATTATAAAAGGGGAAACTGCAGTACAACTTGGACCGGTAGCAACTGTTTATGAAATCTTCTTATGCTCCCTCTTGCTCCTGGTAAGTTATGTTATCACCCCATTCCAACTAAAATTTCTCTAAAATATGTCCATCAGTTTTGAGTAATTTCAGCCTCCAGGTGAATATAACAAACAAACAAACAAGTCCATGCATGCCAATCACTAGACTAAGCCATTATCATGAAACCAGGGTCAGACGAACCAAGCCTAAGATTTAACATTTTGGACAAGGAAAATACCATCATTCTGGCATATGCAGAACCTATACGACCAGCTCCAATCACACCAACAGTCTGCCCTTTGAGCAAGTTTCCCACAAACCTGCCACATTAAAACAGAAAAATCAAGCTGCAGGCGACACATGACATTTATAATTGATAGTAATGGCAAATATGATAGTCATACAGATTAGGAAGCCATCCGTCATATAATCCAGCCCTCATAAATTCATCTGCTTCAACTATTCTTCGAGCAGCTGATAAAGAAAGTGAAGCTGCCAGCTCTGCTGTAGTTTCTGTAAGGACTCCCTAACCATATGAGCAATAAATTCATTTCAATATGCCATATTTTCCCAAAAATAAAAGAAAACTAGAATCCTGTATCATTTTTTTCTATGTACCATAGTACCATACAGAAATAGAAGATAAGATGCATTGAACTACTGATGCCATGAGACTAAAAAGAAAAGAGAAAAAAGAAGAATGGAGAGAGAGAGTGCAACACTTACAGGAGTGTTTCCAACAGCAACCCCATACTTGTTAGCAGCATTGACATCAACATTGTTATAGCCAACAGCCATGTTACTGAAAGCTTTGCCTCCTGCTCTGCTCAGTGCTGAGAACAAAGCCTCTCCCCAGTCTTCAGTCAACTGAAAAACCGAAACATAAACACAACTCAACCACTTTAAATCCAAAATCTAAATTATAAACAATAAATAAATAAAAGAAGAAGAAAAGCAAACTCATATTGCCTGTCCAATAACTCCATCACACTTATCCCCAATCAGAGCAATGATATCCTCGACAGACAGAATTGTTTTCTTCCGAGTACATATCTAAACACACAAAATAAACGTCATCTCATCAAACTCAAATAGCTAATGGCTCAAAAAAGAAAGATCAAAGAAGATGAGAAAGAACAAGAGAATTACTTCAACTCTGCAGTCTTGTTCAATTAAGAGATTGATCCAGCGAGTTCCAGGCATGGGTTTTGTGCTGACAACTCTGTATTTCCCATTTGGGTTCCACACCTGAACCATGAAAGCTTGTCAGCAGCTAACTGAGAGAGAATGCTGACTGTAGAAGCAGAGAGCTCTTTAAATTTCTGGTTTAACTGTGATGATATACTGGTGACTTTGTGATATAGTGGACTTATTGACTATATAGAGATGGAACGTTTTTAATTGAGAGGTGCAGGTGAGTTGCAGAGTGCTCTTCAATCTTCATGCTTTGGAGTTCTTGGACCTCTCATTAGGAATAAGATAATGATGACTTGGCGTCCTAGGTGGATGACACAGAACCCTTTTGTCAAGAGCGAGGGTGATTAGGAAAGTGACCAATGCTTTTCACTAATTTTGAATTTATTTTATGTAGTTGATCCAACAAATAAGCATCAACACTAAAAGATTGAGACGAATTTGAAAAACTTAAAAAATCAAGGGAATTTTATAATGCAAATAAATTGGTACGTAAATAAAAGGTTATTGGAGAGCGTGCATATTGAAAACCCCTGTAGCCCATTGAAACTTCAAAATTACCAATATTATACTAATCCAAGTTTACATCTCCCTTCCCCTCACTCTCTCAAACTAAATCAAAGCAATCCCAACTAGCCCAATTGCAAAGCCCAAAATTCCATCACTCAAACTGAACCCAGGGCCCGCTGCAGCATTGGCGGATGGTGATGCAGCTGGCCCTGCAGGGGTAGCCGGAGATGGTGAGGGAGACAAATGTATGGGAGGCTTAGCAATCACAACGAGCTTGAGGCCTTTGTCACAATGCTCCTTAACCCCACTGATGAAGTAGAATGGCCCTGCCCGGTCCAACGTGATCTCCGTCACATTTGCTTTGATTGGCTTCGATGTCTCGCAGCTCTCGTAGTCTTCCTTTGTCACTTGCAGCGCAGAGTCACTGTCCTTGTCCGATTTCCATTCTGTGTACCAAAATTAAAATTACATAAATACATAACAAGTGGTAAACTTAATTAGTGTTACATATATATGATTTGGATCAGAAAATAATATGGAAAAAGTGAATTATTAATGTACATGAAACGAAAAATATATATATGAAAACCAAACATAACAAGAACAAGTGAGGTTTATTGTAAGAAACTCATAAATGATTAAGAGGATTTATCTCTATACAGGTTTTAAGTTCCACTTCTTAATAAAATCTAGAATAACAATCCATGAGTGCGGGCAAAATACATGTTATACAATTATGATGAGTCGTGAATCATAAAAATTTAAAAGAAGCCATAAGAGGGATTGAAAGGTATGAAATTACTGAGTTGATCGCCAACTCTGAAACGTTTTTTCTGGACCCATTCATTCAGGGTCTTGGAAGAGTCAACGTTCCAAGAAATATCTTTTTCTCCAACGATAACTTCTTTCGCTTCAGAGAAGGCAAATGACAGAGAGACAAGGGACAATACTAGAATGCTGATTCTCAAGTAAGCCATTGCTATGCTCCTATGATTCAATTTTCAAACACGAGAGAGAGAGATAGTTGCAGTTGTAGAGTTTTGGTTCCACTAGGGTTATATATATAGCCGTTAGGTTTGGTGTGGGCCTTGGGTTTGGAGGACCCGAAGCCATTCATGATCGCCACGTTTCAGCAGTGAAATGGCCATTGTCAGGTTTTAATTTTGAAGTTGGGGCTGTAAATGTGAAGAAATCAATTTATTTAAAGGAAAAAATCTAAAACGGCTATTCACTTTCCCAATGAGTGGTGTGGTGTGCATTTCAATTTTTTATGACGAGTATTTTGACCACCCTCAAATGTTTTTCTTTCTATGTACAATATATCTCATACATCAATTTGGCCTCTTTTCCTTCTTTTACAGGTAAATAAAATCTGCGACGATCTTTGCCAAATTGGAAGAAAACCAAGTCCTCCTTGTGTCTCTAATAGCCAGGGTCACTGCATCCATACGCATAATATTAATAATACAAATTTATAAATAAACCCAATCCTAGACATGTATTTATAAAAAAACTCAAGCACTATTTAAACATAGAAACACACCCAAAATCAACCCCAAAGTCAACTTTTTGGGTGTGTTTATAAATGGGTTTTGAGTGTGTGTAATGATGGGTTTTGGGTGTGTTTATATGTTTAAATAGTGCTTGGGTTTTTTTATAATTTCAACCCCCATTTTGGGTGTTTTAGTGAAACTCCCTATTAATAATTGATTAAATTCATTTCACAAGCAAGTTAATACAGAAATCGAATTGCCTTTCATTACCCCCAAGTTGTGCATAAGGATAAGATTCTAAAATTTTAAATTTTGATTGTGCTTATTTTGTCTCTGAAGTATTTGAAATGGTAAAATAAAATTGAAAAACCAAAACTTTGTGTTAGATATATGCTTTACTTGCATTTCATTCCATGCTTGATAAGTAAGGAATTGATTTCTCGTTGTGTGATTCGTAATTGTATGGCCACTTTTATTATGGAAGATTCTAGCTCAAATTGTTAAGAGTATTTAAGTTTGATTTCTATATAAGCTTGCATGAAAAAAAAAAGGGCTCAAAGGAGTAATTGGGATGAAGCCCTAGAGAGGTTCTTTCCAAACAGTGTGATCAAACCCTCGAGCTGGCCAAGATCTAAGCTAATCTACCATCGATTTGCTCTCAGTGCGTTTGGTGTCCAGATAATATTAAACGTGCCGCTCATTCTATGCTTAATCCATGTATTATCATAGGGTTGTCCACACCTGAACGGTTCACTAAGCCCAACCGTAACATCTCTCCACGCAACCTCTCAGTCTCCGCACTCGACACCCTTCCCATCCTTCTCGTTTCTCTCACTTTGTCCGGAACCGTAACATCCAAACGCCGGCGATTCTCTCCGTCCGCCCATAACCACCGCTGATCTCTCTGTCTTCTTCAGACACCCGATTCCTTCTAACACCTTGAATCCCTCCTTTCTCGTCCCATTTTCCTCGAATAATCTCTCCTCTCCCTCAGTCCCGATTTCTCTCTCACTCTCTGTTACAATTTAAGTCACGAATCGTCGAATCCTGTTCCATTTCTGAGGTGATTATTTATGGGTTTTGATTCAAATTTTTAAAGGAAGAAAAAATATTGTTTTGCCCTAATTTAGCAGATTATTAGGTTTTTTTTTATTTTATATATTTTAAAATTTTAATTTTTGTTAATTTGTTCAATTTAACCCATTTTGTATCGAATGTGCAGATATTTAACTTCATTTTCGTCACCAATTGCCTCTGTTCTGGTGGTTTACTGGGCTACGAGCTGAAGATCAATCTATGGAAGAGGTATGATCTGATTTGTTTTGGAACTCTTTTTGTTACATGTGATTGAAAGCTCTGGTTCATGCTAATCGATGAAAGCTCTGGTTTTAGGGCTTGCAATGTAACCCTAAGACCCAGAAGGTGATTACATTGCGATCTCCGCCGTTGTGGGTCGCAATGTAACCCTATGCTAAGTTGATGTAAACAAGCTACGTATCTGAGTCATCGTGCTCCATCATTTCCAATCAGGGCTTGCAGAGAGAGAAAGGGGAATCAGAGTATTAGGGTTAGCGCCTGAAGTGATTGCATTGCGATCTCCGCTGTTGAGGTGAAAGGAGGACTCCAAAAGGTAGATTTGGTTCTTATTTTCCACTAATTGCCATCTTATGCCTCCATTAAGTTAATTTTGTGTGATTATTGTTTGTTTTATTTTTGTTTAGTGTTGCTTCTTCGTATAGACATGCAAGAGTGTGTAATGGGTTATAGCAAGAAAAATTTGCATTTGTGTGCAGGGGCAACATTTATTGGCAAATTCAATGCATTTTATGTAATTCAAGTTTAAAAAGGAAGTTTCAATGGCCAAGAAATCTGTAACACAACGAAGGTTAACAAAACTTGATGTCTACCTATACATACCCAATATAATTGGTGAGTATTTCATTGTTTTGGTTATATGTTCTTAAAGCAAGTTACTTTAGAACTACAGTCAACTAAAGATGTCTTTGTTTTATTCAAAATGATTGTATGTTTACTGGGAATGCAGGGTACATAAGGGTTCTTATGAACTGTTTTGCGTTTGCTCAGTGCTTCTCCAACAAGCAGCTTTTCTCAATTCTCTATTTTGTCAGGTGAGAATTAATGCTTTTGAATAATTCATTTATGTTGTTTGGACTTGTGGATTTAGAAGAAGAGATTTGCATTTACTGTAACGTTTTATATGAGATTTTAAAAGTTTATTTTAAGGTTGATGGAGTCAATATGTAAATTTGAATACTTGAAATGGGGTAGGGTGGGTTTCAAATGCTCAAGAAAATATGAGTATTCACCTCTTAACCACTTAAATAATAATAATAATCCACAACCAAAAGTGTGACAACTCTCTCTTTTTGAGTTTTTCTTTACTAAACATAAACTTTAAACTGAATCGTGAAATCTAAATCTCTCATTTCAAATACGCAATCCAAATGAAACCTTATTTTTTTGCGCTGTATCTTTTTCAATGTCTATGTTGGGTATAATATATGATTAAGCTTGCTGTTCCAGCTTTGTCTGTGATGGCGTAGATGGTTGGTGTGCTCGTAAATTCAATCAAGGTATGAGAGTTTCTGTAGCTTGCAATTTTGTTTTTTGATAGGAAGTTTGCGTTGTTTGTGCATATATACGTTTATAGAAACAACTTGTTGTAAGTCGGTACAGATACCAAGTGTGATTTGTATAATGTCAAAATGATTATCATTAAAAGAATCCTCTCAATACAAATGTATCAGTATCATTTGGTCTTCACCAACTCTTTTCCTTTCAGCTATATAAGTGGATACATTTCCTGACTCTCGCTCATACTTTTTCACTGTACATAGTGGGTGTGACTTGAATTATTTTCAAGTTATACTTTCTGCAGAGCTAGATAATATAGGTATAAATACATTTTAAAAAAATTGATCTCCAAACATCATGAATTATTTATTAGTGTACTCCTTATTTAGAGATTGCAGTATAGTATTGGTAGAAGCCTCCGTATTGTAGTGAGCGTTAAATAATTTCATTACTGAAGTGCTCTCTTTGTTTTCAGTTTCCTGATTGTTGAAAGTAATGAAGAATTTTGTGGTTTGCATATTTGATTCAATTATCTTAATACATCTTTGTTTCCCTTCCTGGCTCAGTTTCAACCTTTGGAGCTGTTTTGGACATGGTGACAGATAGGTAATCTCATAATGACTTTATTGCAATAACCTAAACTATACACAGCAGTTACTGAAAATACCTCTCAGTGGATCTGCAGTAGATCCACATTGACAAACAGTGCCAACATTCCATCAGACAACACCAGTCCTCAAAATTGAATAGCCTGAGTTAACCTACATCAGTCCTCTAATCCACAGTAAGATACATGTGCATGTGCACCCACGCATGCGCATGCACGTGCACAAGAAACATAGTATTGCTGAAATGATTTAGCTAGATTGGTAATCACCGTATTGATTATTGTCTTGTATCTCAGGATAAGCACTGCGTGTCTCTTGGTAGTTCTTTCACAAGTATACCGGTAAGACATTTTATTTGGGGAGCTGATTTTTCCACTATGCTTTTGTCCACTTACACTCCCTTTGTTGGAAATTGTATGTTCCCGCTCTTTTGTTCACTTACACTCCCTTTTTTGTTATAGTTAAAAGTATTAAAAAACAGAATGGAGTGTACGTGGACAAAAGGGGAGTAGGAAAATCACTGCCCTTTATTTATAGTCTACAAGTTGCTATAACTATACATGCATGTTTGTCTTAGCTTGTTGGTGGGATTTTAATGCAGGCCTGGCTTGGTTTTCCTCTCATTGCTTGCCTTAGATATTGCCAGCCACTGGCTGCAGATGTACAGGTTATTTTCTTTTTCTTTTTAATTGATTTATGTATGGGATGAATTGGGTTATTCCTTGAGAAAGTTTTATTTTGTTAACACTTTAGTTCATTTATTTGCAGTACTTTCCTGTTAGGCAAGGCTAGTCACAAGGATGTGAAAGACAGCACTAATTGGCTTTTTAAAGCGTACTACGGGAATCGGATGTTTATGGCTTACTGTTGTGTAGCTTGTGAGGTAAGTGTAAATTGGTTTGCCTATCTACGCACGGAAATCTTTCAATAGTGGTAGTTGCAACTCTTCTCTAAATTTGAGTATTTACTCTGCAGGTGCTTTATATAATTCTATTTCTTCTTGCAAAGAACGAAACTGAGAGCTTGATTGATGTAAGTGCTGTTTTTAAAGATATAAAGAGGAAGTTCCCAGATTATTTTTGTTTCTGAATTTCCCTGTTTCAGGTTTTAACTGGACTTGCAAAGCATATTACACCTCTTTCTGTTCTTGTTGGTTTGAGTTTATTTGGATGGGCCGTCAAGCAAGCAGTCAATCTTATACAGGTAGACCATGGCTATCTGTTTACTGTCTGAAAATGAAGAATTACTTTGTGTTGACAAATAGTTGAGGTTCCCCTAAAAGAAATTGATAGTTTTAGTCAGTCCTACCCAAGTTTTCTTGGTAGTTTGTCGTCCAAATGTTCTTTTAAATTTAATCTAGCTAATCAACTTTTTCAAGTTTAAGTCATCTAATTCTTCCTATCTGTTCGACCAAAAGAAAAAAAAATCTTCCTATCTGGATTGTTTTGAAATTCATTTCATGATTTCAGTTGAAGACAGCGGCAGATGTGTGCGTGCTTCATGATATCAACAAAAAGCAGAGCCCCTAATGCAAATCAACTTCTATGACCTGAGTTGCATTCAACATTCAGCCTTGCTGCCCAGTTCTTCATGTTCAAATGTGTAACCCGCGAGTGGGATTGCTTTATTTTAACGAGACATAAAATGAAGAAAGAATTGTAATGCCCTTTCTTTCATTGATTTAATTTTAAATTTAAATTTTTTTGAGTGAACCGCGTAGCACAAAATTTGATACTTTGACATTTTTCTTAACCTTAAAAGGAAGAAAGAAAAAAAAAACGGCATGCTCTAATTCCCGAGCGTCTTTCTTCTAGTTAGTTGTGTATGATGTGAATCCAAACTCCGCAAAAGATTTGTCAATTGAAATGATAATGATGATTATTTGAATTTTCATACTCTGTCAGCATGTTGCACTGACTGACTAGTGGCCGGAAAACATCGGATTCAACAAAACTCTCATCAATATTAAAGCATGCATCCCCGGAAATTGTTATCTTTTCGAATGTGGATTCTCTCATTCTCTTGGCTATTTTCTTTTTACTTCTAATTGAAATGGTGGATTCTCAAGGTTCACGCATGTTAAGTATCATTCCAAAATCCGTCCGTTTGTATATTGAAGAGAAAAAGGCAGTACAAATTTCACGGTAGACACTTGGAAATCGGTAAAAGGTTGAGCACTTCCAACTATGGACCAGCCTAGTTTGGATGCAGAATTTACATTCCCATGGTTGATAACTGCTATGAACAGCTGGTGCAACAACATAGAACAACTTGGCTGGATAAAGATTAAACATGACATATAAAGCGAATCGTTAAACCAATCTTGATTTCTACAGTAAAAATATTACATTTGTAGAAGGGTTGCCCTCTATTAAAACTGTAAAAAGCTTCAATTAAAAAAGAAGAAAAAAGAAGATGGTACTCTCACTGAGAAAAGGTGCTGAGCAGATGAACTTTTGCTCTAAACAAATCGAATAATCCTTCTAAGATCTTTTATCTAACACTCGTGGAGAAGCCTGGTAATGTCAATCTTTACTCGCTCAAAAATACTAATACAGGCTATACCCGAATAACTGGCTGATGATTATGGCAGATCCAAGAGCAATTGCAACCAGGGAAGAAGCCCATGTCAGTTTCTCTGTTATTCTGGGAACTCTATCCTTTAGTGCCTGGCTACATGAGCCCAGAAAGACTGTATAGCTTCCCATTGCAACTACGGTCCCAACTAAAAACATAACCAGAAATGCGGCACCAGCAACGCGAGATGGCAAAGCAAGAGCGGGCAAGATCATCATCAATGCATCTGGCTGCAGCCCATGGACAATTCCAGTGGCAAAAGTAGCAAAACCAATCTTCTTCTTCCCAACGGTAGGGTTTTCTAGAGATTCGTATACACTAACATCACACTCTCCATTCTCTAAGGCAACACAAGGACTTGAGACTTCTGAAGCTTCCTTAATGCCCATGGCACCAATAACTAGTAGAGTAATGCCCACAACTCTTGTGCCCCATGTTCGGATAATTTCAATATGAAGCCGATCCTTTAGTAGTAGAAATATTAAGCCAAAGATAACCTGGCCAGCGTCATGGCCACATCCCCAGAGGGCTCCAACTAAAGCACTTTCAATGCGGGTGCGTCCAATTGAGAGTGGAGCCAGAGCAGCTAAGTGGTCAGGACCTGACAATGTGTGTAAGCAACCGGCTAAGAACCCAGTCCATGCACTACTAAGTAATTCAGTCTGGATCAGTCTTCCCCCGATAGCAGCAGCTGGGCTACCTGTCTTTGTTGCAGTTTGAAAGGATGCATAAGCCGCTGGTGCACAAGCTGGCTGTATTAAGATCAAAACAAGGGCAGAAAGCACAACAAATGCCCCAGTGGTGATCAGGCCCTGATCACCAAAAGAATATAACAAGTAAGTTATCTGGTCAAAACAAATGGATTAATGGTCGCATATAAAAGGTGAAACAGTAGCTGGGAATTTGCAGACGCCCCATCTATCTCATTTTGATAGTGGTCGTTGTGGATATGGTAGTCAAGAACCAAATACGAAACTTCGATGGAAATAACGGAAACTTGTGTACACAGTATAACCTATGCTCCTACTTCAATCCAAGATTAGCACTGTGACTCTCTGTTAACATTCCGCTGTTCTCTTTTAAAGATTAGATTTAAACCTCCTTTGAGGGTGCTACCAAGTAGACAAGCAGTTGCTAACACACAGTCCACGATGAGACATTACAATCTGGTATGAATAAACTGCATATTCTAAACTACAAAACCATGCAAGTTTTAGAGGGCAAAATAGACTACATTTTGGATCAGACAACGACAACATTTCGAATCAGAAAGTACTCCGTGGAAAATAACCAACATTTCATCACTCATCAAACCAATTGTTTACATTTCAACGCATGATTGTAGCAATAACAACAAAGAAACCCCACAACATAAAATTAATCAAAGTCATATCTTTTATCAATTTCTGTCATTTAAAACAAGAGATGTCTATTACCTTGCGTTGGGTAGAAGCCCCATTTGCAATCTTCTTGATAATCTGCGGATTTGGCAACTCCGGCCGGTTCGGCGAGAGAGCCGGTAAAATGTTGGATGGCGCTGATGAAGAAGGAGAAGAAGAAAAAATTGGAGATGGGTTTTGATGTTTGCAGGAAACCAAGCTGACCCGTCTGAGATTGGGCAGTTGGGAAGCGGGAAAGTTGAGTTTGGCCGAGGCAATACGAGCGAGTGGAGGGAGAAAAGGTGAGGGTTTTACATGGAGTTTCAAAGGGTTTGGGGAGGAAGAGAACAGAAGCCTTTCCATGGCTTCTCTCTCCCTCTCTATCTGCCTCTCCTTTGTGTTCTGTCCTGTGTCTCTGATAAAGGTTTAGATTTGGAGGCAATGAACTTGCACAGAGAGAGAGAAGGGTTTAGCAAAAATCACTCCTTTTTGTCCTGTAAAAAGGTTAATTTTTCTTTATTTTAGTAGTAGCCTTCACCTTCACGATACTATTTTGTTCCCTTCCCTTTCCACTTCCTTCCTGGTCTTGAAAGGACGCAGCAAATCCATTATCATTATTGTTAAGATCCAATACTTTATTTTGCTTAGCGATCCACGGTCCACCTATGAATTTGGTTCATCTTCTCCATTTTCTACCATTCGGTTAGTGGAGCGGTTGAATATTTAAAGAGTATCGCCGCGCGGCTATACTTTAAAATATATTAATATTTAAAGAGTATCCTGCTATACTTTGTAAATGTATAGCGCGTATAGCCGCGCGGCTGTACTTTCGGCGAGCGGCTATACCAAAAATGCGTATAGCCGAGCGGCTATACTCTGTTAAGTATACGAATATTTTAATAGTATAACCCCGCGGCTATAATATTTAAATATATTCGAATATTTAATAGTATAGCCGGACGGCTATACATAAAAAATATATTAATATTTAAAGCGTATAGCCGCTCGGTAATAAGAAAAAATTTAAACGTATAGCCGAGCGGCTATACGTTTTTAATGTCTTCGAATATTTTAATAGTAAAGCCGTCCGGCTATACGCTTAAAATATATTAGGATATTTTAATAGTACAGCCGCACGGCGATAATATTTAAATATATTCGAATATTTAATTTTATAGCCGATCAGCTATACTGTACAAAATGGTTTTTCTTTTTTGACGAAACGGTGTCGCATTATTTTGGTTTGTGACTTGCAGAAGAGGAAGGAAACCATATCACAAACAAAGCTATGGTCGAAACACTCTCTTCGGCTGTTATGTTTGCTGCGAAAGCACTTGGTCTCAGAGATGAATAGCAGCTCTCATTATTTCTCACATGGCACTATCGCTTTGTTCTGTGGTAAAGGAATGGACTTTCGTCCCAAAGTTGGGACCTTGCAGGCTTCCTTCAATGGAAAATCAGAATTTCTGAATCTCCACGTTTTCCCTGCTCTTACTTCCATTGATTCTTTTCGATTTCAGGTATGCTGACATTCATTCTCACTACTATTCAATTGAAGATTGCGTAAATTTAGTACTGTGATTTTAATTGATTAAATTTATTTGTAGGAGCATGGTTGCAATGTACTGAAGCTTTCATTGAAGTCAAGAACTTCCCAATCGCAAGCATTGGTGGTGAGGAGCGATCATCCTCAAAATTCTGACTTTCCGAAATACTATTCGAAAAAGGAGAAGAAGCCCTTTCCAGTCCCCATTGTGGACTTGAGGAGGGCTGCCAGGGAAAGGCTTAAGAGCAGGAAGGGCAAGCCTAAAACACCAGTTCCTCCTCCTAAGAATGGCTTGCTTGTCAAGACCCTTATCCCAGTTGCCTATGACGTCTTCAATGCAAGAATTACATTGATCAATAATTTGAAGAAGCTATTAAAGGTGGTGCCTGTGCAAGCTTGCAGGTTGGTGTTACCTTCAGGAACTTTGTTGGAAAGGAACTTGCATAATTCAATGGAAATTAAGTTTTGATCCTTTCATTAATCACTGAACTCGTGTGCAGGTTCTGTAATGAAATTCATGTGGGGCCTGTTGGGCATCCGTTCAAATCATGTAAAGGTGCAAATGCTAACATTCGTAAGGGTCTTCATGAGTGGATAACAAATGCGACCGTTGATGACGTATTCTTACCAGTTGAAGCTTTCCACCTCTATGATCGCCTTGGAAGACGCATTCCTCATGAGGAGAGATTCTCAATTCCTAGAATTCCAGCAATAGTTGAGCTTTGCATCCAAGCTGGGGTTGATGTCCCAGAATATCCCACTAAAAGGAGAAGAAAGCCAATCATCCGTATTTCAAAAAGTGAATTTGTTGATGCAGATGAAAGTGAGCTACCAGACACTGACACTGAAAGACCCAAGAGACCCGTCTTGACTGAAATACCCGATTCAGAGATAGTAGCCCCATCAGATGAAGAAGAAACAACCTTGCTTGCTGAGGAAACACTACGAGCATGGGACCAGATGAGGAGAGGAGCCAAGAAGCTAATGAAGATGTATCTGGTGAGGGTTTGTGGGTATTGCCCTGAGGTTCATGTGGGTCCCAGTGGGCACAAGGCTCAGAACTGTGGAGCCTTCAAACACCAACAACGAAATGGGCAACATGGTTGGCAGGCGGCAGTGCTCAATGACTTGATACCACCAAGATATGTGTGGCATGTTCCAGATGTAAATGGAGCACCAATGGAAAGGGAGCTCAGGAACTTCTATGGGCAAGCCCCTGCTGTTGTTGAAATGTGCATTCAGGCGGGTGCTGCTGTGCCAGAAGAATACAGACCAACCATGAGGTTGGATGTTGGAATTCCCTCCACCATTAAAGAAGCTGAAATGGTAGTTTGATGAGATGAGTTGATCTTTGCCCCCTCTTCTTTTCAGTACAATGTAAATT